GACCTCTGGGGGATATATATATATATATATATATATATATATATATATATATAGTATACAAATGTATCTATTCGTATATAGGTATGCTTGTATATATAATATATATATATGCATATATATATATATATATGTATATATTCATATTTACTATCTATGGGTATAGGCGCGCTTTAATAAGTTTAGATATGTCTGCAGGTTGCAGGGAAGAAGTAAACAGCAGTTTTATATTTTCTTCATTTGTTTGTCTGTCTTCTGTTTGGATTCTCTGTTGGGTATTGGTGCATATAAGACATAATTCAACAATAAGCTTCCTTTATAAAACATAATTATAAAAACTATTACTCTTATAATTATAAATATAATAAATATATATATTATATTTATGTTTATTGTCGTAAGAGATTTAAAATAATTAATGTTGCTCTTTTGCTTTCTTCTTCCGAGTCCTCGCTGGTCTACTCAGCTGCTAAAGTATGCCAGTCGTCTTTAAGGTAGCTGCTGCTGCTGCTGTTGCTGCTGCTGCTGCTGTTGCTGCTGCTGCTGCTGCTGGTAGTGTTGATGCGGGGGTCTGTGGGGTCTGCCCAAGAAGAAAGGGAAGGGTTTGTGCTGCTGCTGCTGTCTGTTGTTTGCGTGGCTTCTGTTTGCTGCTGGCTTTTTAGTTTTGCTGCAGAGAGTTCGTAGGCCTGCTGCGCCCGCAGCTGCAGCAGCAGCCGCTGCGACACCGCACTCTCTTGCTGCTCCTGTTGCTGCTGCTCTTGTTCTTTGTCAAGGAGGGCCAACCCTGCTGCTGTCTGCTGCTGCTGCTCTTCTTGTGCTGCAGCAAATCCGAACGAAGGCAGCAGAACGCATGCAAGGTCTCCACCTTTGTAAACAAGAACATACATACATCAGTGCATGCGCTCTGCTGCAGCATGCGCTGCTGCTGCTGCTGCTTCGACTTACTTTGTTTTCTGCTTCCAAACAGAGCCGCCACAGAACAGTCCAGCAGCGACGCCCAAACTCTCACGAACAACTGTAAAAAAAGAGCAGTTGTTGTGCGTTTGTCTTCTTCATCTTTTAATTCTATTCACAATGAAGCAGCAGGAGCAGGAGCAGCAGCAGCAGCAGCAGCAGCAGCAGCAGCAATGGCAGCGGACCCGGCACTCCACTTGGTCTTGCAAGATTGCGTCTTCCTGTTCAATTGCATTTGGTGTTCTCAGCAAAAGAGCAGCAGACGCCTCACCTGCAGCAAAGAGGCGGCGGTGCTGCTCTCCTCCGCAGGCAGCTTCACAGCAAAATTCAACTCTGTGAATACTCTGCAGCAGTTAGTGGGTGTGCATGCATGCGTTGCTTGCAATAAGATATTCTATAACAGACAGCTGGGGGGCAAACTTACCGAAGAGGGACATGAGCTGCCAGGGATTTGTTCTGCTTCGCCTGAAGAACAGAAGCTATAAATGCTTTTTTGTTTTTTTCTTTGCTTGCTGGGGTTGTTTGTTTTGTTGTTTTGTTATTGTTTTGGTTTTGCTGGTGTTTTTGTTGTCGTGTTCATTGTTGTTGCTGTTGTTTGTTTTTTGTTGTTGTTATGTGCATCTTGAATTATCTTTTAGAAAGCAATAACTTAAACAAATGGAAAGCTCACAACGGAAGGGTTTACGAGGATGAAGTTGCAGGGGCATTCAACGACTCCGCGTACAGGAACTGTATATAGTAGGGAAACCCATTGTGAAAGAATAAAGTAAATGCCAACGCATAATGTTTCTGGCGTACCTAGAGGCCGCTTTCCCCTCCGAGAGCAGAAAAAAGAACAAAGGGCATTTCCTACAACATCCAGCGAAGTGTTTCGCTCGTTCTGGCAGTCGGTAAGCAGAGCGGCAAAGAGAAACTCCACGAAATGAGGACCGTTGTTTTGAATAGATGCAGAAATAATCGTCCAATTCAGCTTTCGTTCTAAGTCGAAATGCGGCTCCACTTTCAACGAAACCCTCAGACCAAATTTTTCTGTTTCGCTGCCGCCAACGACTTGCACGCCGCCTTCCAGAGGGAAAGCTGTCATTTTCCGGCGATTACCCGGAAACATTTTACATCATTTCATTCTAGAAGAAAATAAAAGCATTTAAGAAGCTGCTTCCCTTCTAAAAACCGGAAACCAGACTCCGTTCTGTTGCATCGTACAAGAAATTCAAGTCGCCGTTTCTGAGGTGTACAGACAGCTCTACCAATTCCCATCAAGGGTGCAGAGTTCGCAGCATTTCGCTGGTGGTTTCGAACAAAAAAGCAGGAATATAACTCATAAGTTATGTTTTGTTTCCCCGTAAGCAAACCCTTGCGTGCACGCAAACATGCAGCATTTTAAATACTGCATGCATGCATGCAGCCTTTTAGCCAAGAAAGGTGTTTACTTCTGCGGCAACGCCGCGAGTTGAATATCCGAAAAAAAAGAGCGATCGGAAGATTTCGTTCGATCTGAGGGCAGAAAAACTGCGCTCACAAGAGCCACAAGGTGTACTAGTAAAGGCGAGATGGGGTCTCACGACATACAAAAATATGATAAAGAAAACAGAAAAGAGAGATTTCCGCGGCTGGAACGGAGCTGCCTCGGTCCGTCAGCCGCCTTCATACAGGAGGCATTTCTACAAAAACAGAAACAGCACAGACTATGCACTGTCTTCTCAGTCTCCTGGTGCGTAGCTCGGCTCTGCACTGAAATGATTCTCAGCATGTCTGTCGCTCGAGAGGAGGCCGCCCCGCGAACCCAAGAAGAGGCAACTTCAGCCACCAGCAGCGGCAGCAGCAGCAGCAGCAGCGCGTTCTATCACAAGGCCGCAGAAGGTTTGTCTGGGCTCATTCTCTGGTCGAAGACACTCAAGGTGCTTTTCGGGTGTCTCTGCAGAGCTTGCATGACTTCGGCAGGCGGATCTAAACCCATTTCTGCTGCGCGTTTCCACCGTTCTTCTCTCGTAAGGCCGACGCAAGGCCCATACTAAACACAAACAAACCACAAAAGCAGCAGCAGCAGCAGCAGCAGCAGAGCAGCAAATCAACCTCATGCAGCACATCAAACAACCCCTCCACCAAATGCATGCCCAACTGAAGAAAAGTACTTATTGCCTTTTTATTGCAATAATTAAAACAGATATCAGACAAATTCAACTCACCATGGCTTCCATATCGAACCGGCGAAGGAGTTGTTCTGTCTCGTCTGCCTCAGCAGGGCACCACTTTAATCGTGGATTTCCCTTAACAACGGCATCTGCAGTGTCTTTCAGTTCTTTTTCAGTGAAGCCCGGAGCAGCAAACCGTTCTGGTGAGCGGTATTTGGAAGGATTGACCGGTGCTGCAGTAGGTGCATCCGTTGCTGCTGTTGCTGCTGCTGTTGCAGCAGCAGGAGTAGCAGCAGCGGGCGCTGCTGCACGGTACTTAGTCTTTCTTCTGTCAAGTTTAGGAGTTACTAAGGGAGAGCCCAGTGTAAACGGCTTGCCTGCAGGACCCTTCGAGGGTGTGCGCGGCTCAGAAGGGCTGCGGGGCCGGGCCCTGGGGGTGCGCATTTCGTGTTGAGGGAAGCGGCACGGATGACTGCTGAGTTCAATGACGTCTTCATCTTCAGAAAGTGAAGGGGGAGGGGCTCCTAGAGCTTTCTTGAGTGCCATATTCAACAAATTCAACTCTGCGGCTCACCAGCGACTTGCTAAACGATATTGAAAGAAGAGCGAACGAAAAAGAAGAAAGAAGAGATTATTAAACCAGAGGTAGTGACACTCGGAGGCCGCATCGGTCCCTAACACCGACAAAATGAAGAAAGGAAAACAAAGAAAACGAAAGCGGTTTACGAAACACCTGCCCAGTGGACGCCGAGCAAAGGAAACTCAAACACTTCCCGCTACAGGTATACCTGGAAATGAAAATGCTGCAATTTGCGCCAAAAGAAAGTATAATATCCCGTAGAAGTGCAAGGAAAATGACAAACACAGGCAAACAAACCGCGGAAAGAACAGAAGATCGGCTAGTGGGCATACACCCGAACACGTCGGCGCCTGTTGAGCTTCTGCTCCTTCCCCAAAGTAGTAAGCACTCTCAAACGCATTTGAACACCTCTAAATGCCAATATTTTAAATTTGTTTTCGAATCTTTGTCAGTTTCCTTAAGCTTCCCCGGGGCCCTTCTTGCATGCACTCCGCGTACACCGCAGCCCCGCTGGAGGTTTCTGAATGATTCAGAATGCGCTCCGCTGTAAGGACGTTCTTTTTGTGTTTTTCTTATTTGTTATGAAATTATTTATAACTGTTTTATCTCGGCAGGTTAAATAATAAAGCAGCGGCGTCGCATCCATTACCTCCCTTCGCGACGTTTCAGAGCCTCTCCGGCCTAATTCATTTGTTGTTGCCTTCTTGTTTATTGATTTATCGCCGATTATTGCTGTCTTTAATGGAATAAACGCCATTTAAATTCAATTTCTTTTCATCGCGGCCCTTATTGGGTTCCCGGTGCCGGTTGTTTATTCCTCTTTCTGCTTGCTTTTCTGTTGCTGGCTCGTGCGGCAATTCAGAAGATGTATTCGCAGGAGAAGAGCGGCTTTGGGGTCGCCCACGACTTCAAGGGGTCTTTGAAAGAGGAAGCAGATTTCCCTATTCTTTGCGAGACTTGTCTTGGGGAGAACCCCTATGTCCGCATGCAACGCGACAGAAATGGTAAAGAATGCCATATATGCACGCGCGCATACACCGGATTCAGGTGGGTATAGCTTTTATATCACTTAAACAAATCAACAGCTTCAAGCAACCCCACCCATATCACCACCTCACAGCCACTCTTAATACCTCTCCATGCATGCATGCGTGCGTGCATACATACGTGCACAAAAAGGCAGCGTGCGCTGGAAGCTCGGCCTGTAATGGTTTTTTTTTCGGGTCTGTTGCTGCGTATACACCTCAAACATCGTAACATCTGCAGCATCTTCTTTTATTTTTGTTGCAGGTGGAAGCCGGGCCCTAAGGCGCGATATAAATGTACTGTCGTTTGCCAGCAGTGTGCGAGACTGAAGAATGTCTGTCAAACTTGTCTCTTTGATTTGGAATATGGATTACCTGTACAGGTGAGGACCTGCAGCCTTATTATATTAATAATAACTGCTAGGGTTTAGGGTTTAGGGTTTAGGGTTTAGGGTTTGAATGGTGTGTGTAGCAGTTGTTGCCCGTTAGAAAGGTGACTGACGTTTTCATATTTCCTCGCATAATACACAGTGCTGTTATTGCGTTTTTGTATGTTTTATTATTAGCAGGAGTAGTTTTTAAGTATACAGATATATATAAATGTATATAGATGTATATAAATATCCTTGTATCTCCATACAGATATATGTGTATATTTGTATATATATATATATATATATCTGTATATATATATATATATACATATATCTGTATATATATATATATATCTGTATATATATATATATATCTATATATATATATCTGTATATATATATATCTATATATATATATCTGTATATATATATATCTGTATATATATATATATCTGTGTGTATATATATATCTGTGTATATATATCTGTATATATATATATATATATATATATATTTGTTTCTCTTCGTAGATTAAGAGTTGCACTGGGCATAGGATATATTTTGTTTAGGGTTTGTGGTTTGTGGTTTGTGGTTTAGGTGCGGGACAAGATAATAGGGGAGAATCGCGTGTCATTACCTGAGCACCCTGTGAATAGAGAGTATATGAATTTAAGAATGTCAAACACAGAAGAAAGTCTACCGTATGGGAAGAGTGAAGCGGTGGATGTACAGCTCAAGAGGCTAGCAAGAACTACACCCTATTATAGAAGAAATCTTCCTAGGGTTTGCTCCTTCTGGCGAAAAGGACAGTGTACACGAGGCGATGAATGCCCTTATCTTCATCAAGAGCTTTATACTGATGCTTCGCTAGCTGCACAAAATATCAGAGACAGGTTTGTTAGCTTTCTTCTGCTGTATCTATCCCTCTCATTCTTTCTTTCTATTAATGAGTTAATAGCGTGTTTTATCGTTTATTTATTTATTTATTTATTTATTTATTTATTTATTTATTTATTTGTTTGTTTG